CTGAGCTACAGACCAGTAGCATCACCAGCAGCAGCAGGTGATCCATGTCTCTCTCTCTCTCTCTCTTTATTCTGAGCATCTCGTGTTTTGTCCTCGCATTATATCAGCGTAAAGCGAGAGGTGGAGTCTCTCTGGAAACATATCTGATGGTGCGGATATGGTATTGATATCTGATGGTCACTTCCTGCTCTCTCCTCTCTTCACATGTCAAATCATCACATCAGAGGCTGAACATGATCTATTTGGAGGGAAATGATCCAACGCTAGTCTTTAGAAGGAGAGCAAGTCAACGTAAATGTCTCATTTCAAATAACAAACTCTTTCACACACAGAATGACTAACTTTGGGGTTTGCTGCTTAACATTTTGAATCAACTAAAGAACTAAAAGCCAGACTGAACAAAGGCAGCTGCAAAAAACAAAGTGTGCAGAAAAGTAGAAGAAGGACTCTTCAGAGATCAGAGTCGCAGAGCAGAGGACCAGAGTCCGGGGAGGAACAGGTTCAGGTGGAACCAGCTTGGTTCTGACTAAGGAGAGGTTCTGTGATCCTCATGAACCTGTTAAGCCCGAGAGCCCCCGGTACCGGGGCCTGCGGGTCTTTTCTCACGAAACTGTGTCTCAGGGCTTCTTACCTAGTTAGTGTTCTTTCTTTTTATTCATGCATATTTGATAGAGATTTAAAATAAAATGCAGGGTCAGTGCAATAAATGGATTCCAGGTTAATTAGAAACCACTAAAAACTCATAAAAAGTATTGTAGGTACACCTGGGAGCGATAATACAAAAAGGTACACAAAGATAAAAGGCCATGATTGCGTAACAGCATGGTTAGAGTACAAAGCCATTACAGGGTACGAAAAATCTGTTTTAAAAATGAAGATAGTTAATTTTATTTTAACGTTAAAGCGGAAAAAGGTGGAATTGATTGTAGTTAATTACTTTTATTATTATTATCTATTTTATTTAATTATCAATTTTTTATGTATTTATTCCTAATGTTTTCTGATGATTTAAATGCAATTTAAAATTAAACAATTTTTTTTTTTTTAATAGTTCAATAAATGCAGAGTAGAGGAGAAATCTGGGAATTTCACACAGGAATCAACAAAGTAATTATCTTAATCTATGCATCATCATTCATTTGACTATACTTTGTAATATTAATGATGGTTTGCAAAGTAACAAAAGTTATTAAATACAACTAGTGGAGTTAAATGTGCAATATGTGCATCTAAAATGTAATGTGGAAGTTTGAAGTTGTAGAAAATGGAAATACTGAAGTGAAGTACTTTATTAAAAGTATTTAGCTACTGCCCAAGACTGGCTTCTGCTTCCATCCCAGTACAAAGGAGGAATTATATCTTTGATTCCATTAAATCCAGTAAAATGTGCACATTAAACTGGATTTCTCCCACAGTGAGTGTCTGAATAATCCACTGACTTCACCGTGGAAAGCTCTCATGTGGAACAATGCTCTGCCAGAGGTTAACATGTGAAAACAGTTCACTAGAGGTCTGAGGTGTGTTATTCTCAGAGCCTCTGATCACCACAGGGGGGGGAGTGTGTGAATCAGCCCTGAAAATACAGAGCAACACTAAACACTGCCCTCTAGTGGTTAACTGGGGGAACTGCAGCTGTAAATAAGCAAACACTGTATAGCATGGGCCAGATGTGCAGCATTAACCCTTCTCTTGCGATATACTCATATCATACCCCCCTTCCCATACTATTTTCGGTCAAAATTGACCGGTGTGTTTTGCACAGTGATATCTCTGGAACCCCTTATCCAATGTTGATGGTTGACATCTCATTTGAACAGACAAAGCAAGTAGAATCAAGGGGTGACACTGAGGTGTGTTATTCTCAGAGCCTCTGATCACCACAGGGGGGAAAGTGTGTGAATCAGCCCTGAATATACAGAGCAACACTAAACACTGTCCTCTAGTGGTTAACTGGGGGAACTGCAGCTGTAAATAAGCGAACACTGAATAGCATGGGCCAGATGTGCAGCATTAATGATGTTTAGGAACAAAAAACATGCAAATAGCAACTTGTATTGTTTATAGAACATGTGTGTGCATTCTTACTTATTACAATGTAAAACAGCCAGTGTATTAGGAACACGTAGCTGAAACTGCAACAATCCTGTCACAAATGCTGTCTTTATGAAGGTTGTAATACTCAGTTCTTGTTGTTTGGTTTGTTGTAGTTGTTCCAAACCAACAGTTTGTTTGTTTAAAAAAGGGAGTTCAATTAACATCATACTCATTGTAAAGGCTGCAGTTTGTGGTGCTGTTGAATTCAACTGTAATATAGTATAATGTAAAAAAGTATTACTGCAAAAAAAGTTACATTTTGCTATAACGAAAATTCATCTGTGAAATGTGTACACTGTGATTTAATGTACTTCAATTCGTCCCACCCCTGCACATTGATAGAGAGGCGAAGTCCCTCCCTTTCCTCCATGGGACCTTATTTCTGAAAAGTATGTATTGAAGTCGATGGAGAGAGAAAGATTATCGTTCGATCCCGTTTGAATTGTGCCACAAATTACACATATGATGTTTGTCAATTTAAAAGATAATTTTGCAAGTCAACACAATTAAAATGTGTCGTAAAAATGTGAAGTAACACTTTTTGTGTGTGAAACCACTCAATGAACTACATCTCCCGTCTCGCACCACACACCCAGACGGCCGTCACGTTGAAACATTTCACTTCTTTCTTTCAGAATGAGGCGGAAAGTATTAAACGAGGTGGAAATCACTCCAAGTCTGGGCACGTTGAGAGCTGTGCATACACACAAGGGGAGTTAGTCGGTTCCGTAAGAGCCAGCATGCGGGACCGGGACTCTGGGATTTGTAGTCTTTCTAGTTGCGTATTTTTCATAGTCTTATATTTCAACAGTTTTACGACAAACTGTGACTTTTTTGACGTGGAAATGATTTTTTAAGATTGACAAACATCATATGTGTAATTCGTGGCACAATTCAAACGGGATCGAAAGATAATCTTTATCTCCCCATTGACTACAATACATACTTTTCAGAAATAAGGTCCCATGGACCGGAAGTAGATGGACGGGACTTTGCCTCTCGGCTGTTATTGTGTATCATGTGACTTTGACTTTTGAGCTTGTAAATATAAAATAATTTGGAAACGATTGTGGAAATCACCTACTTTAGACAGATTGAAAACATGAAAATAACACACAGTTTAAAACAGGTGATAAATATTTGAATTTGAACATACCTGATTTCCGTTTAATGTCAGTTGGGGTAGCATTAGCAATATTAGCTCAGTTTCTCCTTGTTTTCCTGCTTGTTCCATGTTTGTAAACCATGTTCAGTGAACTCTCTTTTCCTTTTCCTCTTTTTGTCCGTCCTGATCACTTAACGTTAACAGGGTTTATTAACCAGTGCTGGCTCACACACGTTATACATGCTTACTGTGCACTTCATCACTGCTAGTGTATCTATCTCCTGTGTAGACAGCAGGGGGCGCAGTTATACTGAGAGCACAATACATTCACATGAATATCACATTGCCCTTTTCTTTTTAATAGCTTTAAACATTTGGCTGTTATACTGCATTCAACATAACAGTTATCTGGAACTAGTGCAATTCTGCTGTAACAGTATCTTTAAGACTTTTGCATTCACATTTTAGCTTTGAACACATCATCCACACATAGTGCCTGTACTACGTAATGACAATAAGTTGAATCTTCTTCTTCTTCTTCTTCTTGACTCACTCCAGCTACTCTGGCCTGCAAGAGTCTACTTGTGAAAAGCACTGGTACAAAATGCTTGTATAACTTTACACGTTAGGGCCAGCTAATAAGCAGGGCCGTCTCTCCAGGCCGATCATGCAGACTGCGTGGGGCCTCATCTTGCGGAGGGGGCCTCAACTGACCCGAAAATGCGGCGCGCTTATGCGGCGCAATTAGTGTGGCGCGACACGGTTTCGCCGCTGCGCCCCACTAGCATGAGGGAGGGGACAGACTGAGTGATGATGAACACTGTGCTTTGTTTCAGGAGGAAACTCAGTTATTCAATCATGAGAGACGGTTTTGATGAAAGAATACATATTTATTGCCAGGAATACACGAATGAATGTAATGGAGTTTTGGCGATTAGGCCCCATTGTGCAGGAGTATCATTTGGGAGGGGAGAACCGATCCGATGAAACCCCCCGGGGTCTAGACACTGGTGGTGGTGAATGGATAGTTGGTTCGGTCTGAAGGGGAGGGGCTTAGCTTGACCCTGGTGGTGGAGAATGGATGGTTCGGGTCGGTCTGAAGGGGAGGGGCTTAGCTTGACCCTGGTGGTGGTGAATGGATGGTTGGGGTCGGTCTGAAGGGGAGGGGCTTAGCTTGACCCTGGTGGTGGAGAATGGATGGTTGGGGTCGGTCTGAAGGGGAGGGGCTTAGCTTGACCCTGGTGGTGGAGAATGGATGGTTGGGGTCGGTCTGAAGGGGAGGGGCTTAGCTTGACCCTGGTGGTGGTGGTGAATGGATGGTCGGGGTCGGTCTGAAGGGGAGGGGCTTAGCTTGACCCTGGATTCAGAGGGACAGGAGGTGGAAAGGGTGGGGGTGGGTTGCGTCGAGTCACCTGAAATGACAGCTGTCAGAGGGGAGAGCAGATTTAAAAGGTTTACCGGGGCACTATGATAAGCTTGTGAGAATGGAGCGAAGTGATTGGTTAAGCTGGGGAGTGACGCCCCCGATCACTTATTGAGAGGAGAGAGAGTAGTAACTTGGAAATAGTAAATGAATGAATAAAGACGGTCTTCCTGGTTGAACTTGCGCTGAGCTTCAAAGTCTCAGATCACCTCCATCAGCTTCGTACGGCACCTTGGACATAATACAAGAAGAACATCCTTTTTGTTTTTGAAAGACAAACCTTTATTAATTATCCATTTAATTTGATCACACATCCCATCAGTGAAGTCTGTTCAATGATTTCATGATCAGCTTCACTTTCTCCACACCATGTGTTTCATCTCAGCTGTTTCAAACAGAACCATACATGATATCCTTATTGATT